TGATAGAAATTTTGGCTGAAGCTTTGGAAATAACTAAAGAGAAGATGATGGATGGAATAGATGAGGTTTATCGAGTCTTCACAAGATATGCAATGAGAAATAGCTTACCAAGAGAAGTTCACATCAGATTTACAAAGAAAGCCATTAAAATGCAAATATTGCAAGTGGCAAGAGAGAAAACATTGAAATATAAAGACAAGGAGATTGTGGTCCTGAAACAAGTACCCAGAAGAGTGAGAGAGATGAGAAGAGAATACCGATTTCTGACCAAAATGCTACTTAAAAAAGAGGTGAATTATAGATGGCTGATTCCAGAAGGTTTAATGTTCACACGGCAAGAACAGAGACATAGAATTGACTCAATTGAGAAAGCTGAATCATTTTACACAGAATTTTTTGGAGGGAAAGAGGAAGAGGCAGAAAAAGAAATCTCACTAATTGAATTCCAAGAGGACTGCCAAATAGCGACTGAAAAAGAAGAAGGTGCAGTAGGTGAAAAGGTGGAAGCCAAAGAACAACGTGAACCAAGATCTACGAGAGCTGCTAAACCTAACTACAAAATATAACCATGGAAGAGAAAAAACTGATTACAATTAATATAAATGGACTTAACTCAGCTGCTAAAAGAAGGAAAACTTTCCATAAATTAAAGAAATTAAATTTTGATAATCTGCCTACAAGAAGTACATACCAAAAAGCAACATGAACAATTGTTGATACAGCCAAAATTAGGGAAAATATTTACTTCTTTGACACAATGCAAGAAAAGAGGAGTGGTTTTATACATTAAAGATATTATCCCAGTGAAATTGATCTATACTGATGACGATGGAAGAATACTAATGGTGGAAATGATGGACAATAATATGAAAACACTCCTGATTGCAATCTATGCCCTGAATGACAATCAAGAAGAATTCTATAAAAATTTACATATGAAAATAATTGAACTGGACTATGCTAATATAGTTATGATGGGAGATTTTAATGGAATTGTAGATAATAAACTGGACTATACAACACAGAAAACAACAAAGCAAAACAGAAAGACTCTCCCTAAATCTTTTTTTAAAATGGTAGATGAAATAAACTTAAAAGATACATGGAGAGAAAGAAATACTAAAACTAAACAATACATCTTCTACTCAAATAGACATTTATCATGGTCCAGAATAGATATGATATGGTTGTCAACAGAATTGTTAGCTAATATTCAAGAAATAAATATTGAAATAAGTACTTGGGCAGATCACAATCCAATGACAATTAAATGGAAAGGACAAGGAAGAAGATCTAGATGGATGTTAAATAATACTATATTAAAGGAAAAAGACTTCATACAGTGGATGGAGAAAGAACTGGCTTTCTTCTTTAGAGAGAACAAAAAAGAAGATACATCAATTCAGAATGTATGGGATACAATGAAGGCATATGCCAGAGGCTTGATAATAGACTATACAAGGAAAAGAAATACCATGAAAAGACTAGCCTTTAAGGCATTAGAGGATGAGTATAAAGGACTTGAAAAAGAGCTACAGAAAATGCCACAGAAAAAGGACATTAAGTTAAAAATGGATATAATTAAACATAAAATGGGTCTAATAGAAAAAGAATTAGCACAGAAAATCGGAGGTGCTAAACAGAACTACTTTGAAGATGCAAATAAACCAGGTAGATGGTTAGCATATAAATTGAGAAAGGAGAAAGAATCAAGGAAAATATTGCAATTAATAGATGACTGAGGCCAAGTTTGCTATGGTAGTAAAGAGAAGAAGGAAATCATATGAGACTATTTTTGGAAATTATACACACAAGAGAATATTGATGAGGAAAGAGTTAAACAGTATTTACAGAATGCTAATTGACCCCAGATACCTAAAGAGATTGAAACAATGTTAAAAAGCAATATAACGATGATGGAGTTAACTGAAGCACTCAAGAAGCAAAATAATGGAAAGGCACCAAGCCCAGATGGACTTCCGGCAGAATTTTATAAAACACTACAAGAATCGTTGAACCTTCCATTGCTAGAAGTTATGAATGAAGTTATGTTAAAGAAGAAGATACCTAAATCATGGTCAGAAGCTTATATTACACTTGTCCCAAAAGAGGAGGCCGATCCATTACAAATCAAGAACTATAGACCTATTTCCTTACTAAACTCAGATTATAAAATTTTTGCTTCAATATTGGCAGAAAGACTTTAAAAATACTTAAACAATTTTATCCATCCTGATCAAAATGGATTCTGCCAAAGAGACAAATTAAAGATAATATGAGAGTAATCTTGGACACTTTGGAATACTACGAGGCACACCCTGAAAAACAAATGGCTTTGATATTTCTAGATGCACAGAAGGCATTTGATAATGTGAATTGGCAATTCATGTTATTACAGCTGAAACAGATGGGCTTTGCTAAAAAATTTATTCAAGCAATAGAAGCTATATATCATAAGCAAATGGCAAAGGTAATGATAGAGGGAGAACTGACATACTCTATTGATATAAGAAAAGGAACAAGACAAGGGTGCCCACTATCACCTCTGTTGTTTGTGTTAACCTTGGAAGTGCGAAACAGAAATATTAGAGAAGAAAAGGATATAAAAGGGATGAAAATTAAAAAGGAAGAATTTAAGTTGCAAGCATTCGCAGATGATCTGGTTTTCATTTTAGAAGACCCACTAGAAACAGCATCAAAACTGATAGAAAAGATAGAGGAATATGGAAAGGTGGCTGGTTTGAAAATAAATAAAGATAAGACAAAGATTTTGACAAAGAATATGCTATCAAGACAAAAGGAAGAACTGGCAGATCTATTGAAAATTCAGGTCACGAATAAGATCAAGTACTTGGGGATACACCTGACAGCAAGATGCAGTACACTAAAAGAGAGTGATTATGTTAAACTTAAGCAGCAGATAGCGCTAGATTTGGCGAAATGGGAAAATTTACAACTGTCATTAATAGGGAGAATATCAACAATCAAGATGAATATATTACCCAGAATTTTATATTTGTTCCAAACAATCCCAATAAGGCTTGGAAAAGATTACTTTGAAGATTTAAATAAAATTGTGTTGAAATATATATGGCAAGGTAAGAAAGCGAGAATAAAGTTAAAACTTTTGCAAGATGCTAGAATAAGAGGAGGATTTGGTTTGCCTAATTGGGAGTTGTAGTACCAAGCTACAAATCTGATGTGGGTTAAGGAATGCATAACACTAAGAAATACTAGATTGTTGACATTAGAAGGACATGATCTGTTGTTGGGGTGGCATGCTTTTCTATGGTATAAAGGAACTAAAACACAGGGGTATTTTAGAAGACATTATGTACGGGAGTCTCTGTGGTTAAACTGGGAGAAGACTAAAAGACAATGTTATTTGAAGCATTTTCTTATCCTATAATATATAAAAAGGAACAAACAGTTAGATATGGTGAAATACTTAATGAAAAGGGTGAACTTAAATCTATACAAAAATTAGAGGAACAAGGTATAAAGATGAATTGGTTTTCATATGCGCAAATACATTCAAAGTATGATAAAGACTCTAAAACAGAAGGTTTCTACGATAAACTGACTGATTTAGATAAGATTTTGACAGGTACTGATGAAAAGGTGATTAAAAAATTGTATGGATACTTATTAAACTAGAAGAAGAACAAGTTAAAGAAACAATGATTGCTTGGGGGAAGAATTTTGGATATGGTATTGATTTAGAGAAATGGCACAAACTGTGGTCTCAAAATTATAAAATGACAATGTCAACAGCATATAAAAATTTGTATAAGATGTTTTACAGGTGGCATTTTCCCCCGACAAGAATAGCAAGAATGTTCAAGAACAAATCTGAAAAATGTTGGAAATGTCATCAGACACCTGGCTCATATTACCATATGTGATGGACTTGTGCGGATGCTAAAAAATATTGGACTAAAATCTACACGTGGTTGGAAAAAATGACAAAAAAACATATAGATTTGAAACCAGAGATAGTTTTGTTGGGAATTTTACCTGAAATATATAGTAAAGAATTGAAATACCTGATTGTAAATGTATTAACAGCAGCTAGGATTGTATTTGCTAAAAACTGGAAAAATGAGAAAATACCATCACAGGAGGAAATCATTAAGAAAATATTGGAATGTGCTGAAATGAGTAGATTGACATTTGAAATCAGAGAACAAGATGATAAACAATTTTATAAAATTTGGTATCTGTTCTATCAATGGTTAGACAATAAAACATGGTAATGAAATATGTAGATTCTTAGAAAATAATAAATATATAAAGATGTATTCTTTTTTTATTATATCTACAAAAAGATTGTAGGATAGATTTGAGATGATAATATGAACTGTCATAAAACAAATTAAGTAAAATATGGATTATTTCGTAAAACATGAATGAATAAAAGTATTGTCAAATGATTAACAATGATATTAATGTATTTAATACTTGATTGAAAATATGAGAATATATACAATGTAATTGTAATTGAAGACTACGAAATGGAAGCACAAAACAATTTGTAAACCAACCGGCACACTGTATGTATATATATGGAAGATGGCTTGATGTTTTTATGTTTTGTTTGTCTATGTTCGTCTTAAAAACCAATAAAAAGTTATAAAAAAAATACATATTAAAACCCTTTTTTTGATTCTTCTGTTAAAAGAAGAGCAAAATACATACTTTTAAACTTGGCAACTATTCTTCATTTGTCTTACATGGACGTCAAAAGCAAAAAGATACTGTTGAAATTCATACATGGTAAGATTAAAGCTAACATTCCTAAACACATTTACTCGGAGTAAAGCCTACTCAATTTATAGAATTTGATTCTAAATCCTATACTTAGGATTTACACGGTAATGTTTTTTTTATAAAAAGAATTTTCAGTTAAACAGAAGCTTTCTTAAAGCCTATTTACAATTACACAAATGTGTCTGTGCATACTGAATAATGTGAGTACCTCATAACACTGAAGAGAATACCTTTTAATCCGAATTCCCCAGATGGCCCTTTAGCACCTTGCTTCCCAGGGAGGCCTTTCTCTCCATAGATTCCCTTCTGTCCTGGCCATCCTTTGAACCCCATAGCACCACTGAAACCTCCAATGCCACGAGATCCTTTAGAACCTTGAATGAAAATGGTAAAAACATGTTTAGGCCTTCAATGGAAATCTGAAGTGCTGAATTTAGCTTTCACAAAGGGGCTTTACAATAAGTGAAAACAATTCACCAGAGCCTAGTAAAAGCTAGTAGTGGCTGAGAAAGGAGTGGGTTGTAATTCTGAGCAGCGATTTTATGCAAAAGTTGTTTTCACCTTTAAGACCTGGGAAACCAGGCATTCCAGCCGTTCCAGGGAGACCCGTTTCCCCAGCCTTTCCTTTAGTTCCAATAAAGCCCTGTCCACCTTTGTCCCCTGGCAGACCTTTCATCCCTACAGGACCAACTTTCCCTGGCTCTCCTGGTTCTCCTCTGACACCAGGGGATCCTGTAAAAAAGAAATAAAAATGAAAGAGGGGTATTTGATTAAAATATAGGCAGAAGAGAGCAGTTCAGTGGTGGTATTCAGCAGGTTCTGTCCAGTTCTGAAGAACCGGTAGCGGAAATTTTGATTAGTTCGGAGAACCGGCAAATACCACCTCTGATTGGAGATTTTACAGTATCCTTCCCCTGCCACGCCCACCAAGCCACGCCCATAGAACCAGTAGTAAAAAAAATTGAATCCCACCACTGGAGCAGGTTGTATAGGTACACTGGTTGTATAGGTGCACAAAAGGCAACGGTAAGGATTCATGTGTTTGAAAAATAAGCAAAGGAAGTGTCTTCCAATAATCGACATTACAAATTAAATCTAAAACCTTTTTTTATTAGGGATCGAGTACTGTTTAATGTAAGGGACACAGTGGCTCAGTGGCTAAGATGTTGAGCTTGTCGATCAGAAAGGTCGGCAGTTCGGCAGTTCGAATCCCTAGTGCCGCATAATGGTGTGAGCTCCCATTACTTGTCCCAACAGTTCAAAAGCATGTAAAAATGCAAGTAGAAAAAAATAGGGGCCACTTTGGTGGGAAGGTAACAGTGTTCCGTGTGCCTTCAGCCATGCCAGCCACATGACCACGGAGACGTCTTTGGACAGCGCTGGCTCTTCGGCTTTGTAGTGGAGATGAGCACCGCCCCCTAGAGCCGGAAACGACTAGCACGTATGTGTGAGGGGAACCTTTATCTTTACCTTTTACTGTTTAATAAGCAGATGGCTCACTCTAAAGCAATTCCTCCCCCCCTCCAAAGACAATTTTAAGATATGTGGACCTTAACTCCTAGAATTGCCCAACCAGCCAGATTCTTCCTCAGATTTCTCACAGATCTCTTAATAATCTGAATATTTAAGTATTAAATTTAAATAATTATATAACTTAATTCAGGAAATTTAGGGTTAGGAGGCAGTGGGGTTTTTTCATGGCAGGAAAGTTTCACATATCTGAAGACAAGGTTAAGGCCTGATTCAATGTTTCAGAAAATAGTTCAGACTAACTAACAGAGATAAAAAAAATCATAGGCTATCTATTTCAAACTAGGATTCCAGTGAAATTTATGCCTCTTAGTAATTACAGTATGATGACAGAAATTGCTATAGCTTTTTTTTTACCTTTTAAAAGCATAGAATGAAAAAGTAGGGTTACTACTTGACTAGATTTAAGAGAGGGGGAAAAAAAAACCCACAGAGATATTTGAGCTATGGCTTTTTAATTGTCTAAAAAGACCTTTCTTACTCTCCAGTGGAATGACACTGAAAACAGCTGAGGTGTGATCTGCCCACAACGTTTATCTGAGAACAAGATGAGGGTTATTTTTCTGGCCATTTGTTTGGGTGATAGGCGCTGAAGAGGTCTGTGAGAACCTGAATGAATAGGGAGATAGTTTAAATCTTTTTTGTCACTGAGTTTTGAGATAGGGTAGATATCAAGAGTGCATCTGTGGCAGACTGACATAGAGGCTACCTTGATATGTTGGGGGTGTGTGGGAGAGGAAGAATAATTGAATGGGGAAAGGCTTGGTATGTCCGCATATGTGTGATACGAAGCGGGGATGCAGGGGCTGCTAGATTGATGCCTATGAGAAAAGCAGAAAGTGATGAGGCTGTACAGAACTTTTGGGGGGAATACTGGAAGAATTTCTCACCAACAAATCCTTGTGAGCCTTTTCTACCCAGAGACCCTTGCTGGCCTGGGAGTCCGGGGAATCCAAATGTTGCTGGTGGTCCTCGGATACCGGTCAGGCCAGTGGGCCCACGAAAACCAGGATTCCCTTTGGATCCAGAGAGACCAGGGAAGCCATCTCTTCCTAACAGAAGGGGATAATAAGTAAACAGTCAGGCTTCAGAGAACTTATATGCACAGGTGCGGTGTTGAATTCTTACTAAGTTAATCAAACTTTCTCCTAATGGAGCTTAAGCCATGACTATTTTGTTTGTAAGAGCTGAATCCAACCAAAGACCTACAAATACTAATAAGCTATGATGATAAAACCAGTTGAAAAACATGGCTTGACCATAAGCTTTTAGGTTGAATCATCTCATCACTGACAAGCTGCATATGGTTGAGCACCTCTAGGTAAAGGCATTCTTTTCTCTGCTGGTGATTATTGCTTCTTTTGCTGGAGTAATATGCAATATATCTTTGGTGATGGCAGTGAGCTGCATTCAAGAATAAAAATCATGATCTTTTCAAATTCATATTCAAATGCAAATGCAAACTCATTCCAATTAATGACCGATGCATTTACATATACAAAATAATATAAATGAACATAAAATAACCTAAAACGAATAATCATAAAACCAATTTACTCTAGACTTACACCAATCAAAAAACATGTCTGCCTATCATCTCTCTCTCTCTCTATCCATCCATCCATCCATCCATCCATCCATCCATCCATCCATCCATCCATCCATCCATCCATGTACTCTAATCTAATCTTGATCGCACAAAATATAAAGACTACAGTTATGAATGCACACATTATATATATTCACACTTAGATGGCAAGCAACGAAAAGGCTTTTCTGAATATTGGATATTGTTATATCCAAAGATAATCAGATGGCTTCCAGAAAGATTTCTATCCAGATTAAAATAACTTGGAAACAATGACAAATCCAGTTGATATACTGTAGCCATTATTTAATTGGGATTCTGGTACTCTCTAAACCCAGTGCCAAAAATGCCTCTGGAGAAAAGCCATGAAACTATAGCCTAGACTTTAAGCATCATTGTGAAGCTGTTCATTTTCAGGAAAACTATTAACAGAGAGTCCAGTTAATATATACAATTTGGGAGAGTACTTTGTGGCTCGATACTATTTTAAGCTGAAACTTACTTATTAAATCGGGAACTGAATTAAACTCTCAGCAATATTTAAAACCAGAGTAAAAAAAATAAGTGGAGGGGTTTTTTTGAAGCTACATTTCAAAAAACTGCATGTGGAATGTGCAGAAATCATTATATTGCCATATATCATTCAACAAGATAGCAATAGCACTTAGATTTATATGCTGCTTCATAGTGTTTTACAGCGTTCTCTAAGCAGTTTACATAGTCAGCATATTTCCCCCAATAATCTGGGTCCTCATTTTACCGACCTGCATCCATAACCTCACATGGCAAGCTGTTCCATTGATTAATTGCTCTCGTCAGAAAATTTCTCCTTATTTTTAAGTTGTATCTCTCTTTGACAAGCTTCCACCATTACTTCTTGTTCTGCCCTCTGATGGTCTCAACCGCCTCTTCTTTTTGACAACCCCTCAAGTAGTGGAAGACAGTTATCATGTCCCCCTGATCGTTCTCGATAGATTAAGCATACCTAGGTCCCACAACCATTTGTATGTCAGTCCCTTTATCATCTTTGTTGCTCTTCTCTGCATCCTTTCTACGGTCTCAACATCTTTTTTATATCAAGGTGACCAGAACTGGATGCAGTATTCCAAGTGTGGTCTCACCAGTGTGGTGTAAAGTGGTACTATCACTTCTTGTCTTGACACTATCCCTTTGTTGTTTCAGCCTAGAACTGCATTGGCTTTTTTTGACAGCTGCAGCACACTGTTGGCTCATATTTAAGTGGTTATCCACTACAACACCTAGAGCCCTCTCAGTTACTACTGTTGAGCCAGATACCACCTATTCTATGCATTTGTTCTTTTTCTGCCTAAGAGTTGGACTGTACTTTTCTCACCACTGAACTGCACCTTGTTGGCTAGGGCCCAACGTTCAAGTCTGTCAAGATCTTAGGTCTATCTTCTAAAAAGTTAGCTATTCCCCCTCAGCTTGATGTCATCCACAAATGTGGAGTTCCCCTTCTATCCTCCTTATCTAGATCACGTCAGGTTCCAAGTAATGTGACTGTCATTTATGAAGATGCTGAAGAGTACTTGGCCTAAGGTCACACCATTAAAAAAAGAAAAATTCTGGGAAAGACATTCTGAACATTTGTTTGCGTTGGTGCCGTCCAGGCATGATTACTGGGTTTCTTCCCAAAATTACAGATAAGTGCTGATGATGCACCCTGCACATTGTGCACTCAGTATAGTCTTCTGTGAGACTATCTTGTCATTGGAACTATATCACATGATTCCTTTCTGCAGAACCTGTAAAACAGAGATCTCCAAACTTGGCAACTTTAAGACTTGTGGACTTCAACTCCCAGAATTATATGCTGGCTGTGGAATTCTGGGAGTTGAAGTCCACAAGTTTGGGGACCCCTGCTGTAGCATCTTAACATCCCAGTGGCTCCTCCAATACCAAACTCTGTCTTTTCAGCTTTTTGCCACCCTCTTTATTCTAATGTATAAGGCCCTACTGTACCATTTCTTTCTCTTATTATTAATATTTGTGTAATCTGAGCCAGACTTACCTTTAATTCCTGGTAAGCCTTGATCTCCTTGTAAGCCTTTTGTTCCTGGGAATCCAGGTGGCCCATTGTCTCCAGGAAAGCCTGGTGGTGCTCCTAGAACATCACCTGTAAGCCCCTTTTCCCCAAGGCGGCCTAGCAAACCTGGCAAACCAGGATTTCCTTGAAGTCCCCTTTCCCCAGGGATTCCTGGGGCACCTCTGCTTCCTCTGGGTCCAGTGAATCCTAAGCGTAATAAAATGACAAGGGTGATAAGAATCACACTTCAGTCAATTAACAATGAATTACATAAAGTATGGGGAAAATATGAAAATAATCAGGATCCTGAATATTATTAATAAAATGAATGTTCATTCCCATTAGTTTCTATGGGAATATAGTAATTACCAAAATATCTCATTTGCATATAAGTACAACCTAACTATTAATCTGTTATATGAATATTTTCTAGACATGATTTAGAAAAAGTTTTGGCATAAAGGTCTGATCAAATACAGTCCAATAACAACATTTTTTCATCCAATTAAAATTTTCTCAGTGCTTCCCTCCTTTGTTTCCTGAACATGTGAACTGTAATCTGTTGGTACTATAAGCTATCCTTATAGTTAAACTAATTTGCTAAAAAAATACAAGTTATGTTCAATGGATAAAAATGGAGTCAGACTCTGTTATAGATGTATATTCTTGCATTATATTAAGAAATTAATAAAAAGTACCACAAGTACATATCTGAAACTTACCTTAGAATTTGAAAAAAATAAACAAATTTTGCCCTTGATACTCTGCATATTCTTCCATTCCTTAATCATGCAGGTTTTTAACATGTGGATACACATGTGTAATTTAAGGAATTGGAAGATAAAATCCATAGGATTAGAGATTTTATTTATGGTAAACCTATTTCTGTTAGAAATATGCTGAAGAAGTTATCACTAGTTACAACTACCTTTCAAATTTCAAAAAGAAACATATTTCTTTTTAAATTCATGGGATTATGCAATAAAGTATTTTTCATGTTCGAAGAATGAGATATATCAAAAACATCTCTACAATTTTATATAAAACTCTCACGTTGAATAAACAGGTTTTTAAAAATATGAGATTTAAAATATGAATTCAGTGGATTAGTTTGGACCTTCTTATACTATATAATGATAAAATTTACTTTAGCAAGTAATCACTGACTATAAAAATAATTAATACATTATCTAGATGATGTTGAAAGTAATCAACTTGATGTCTATTACCATCGCTAGTTGGCAATATCTAATTCTTCTACATAGAACATTTTTGGGAAAAGGGGAAATATGCACCAGACTATATGCATTAATTATAATGTTTTATTGTCTAGCCCCAAGGAGGGACTTTTCCAAATATTATGAGAGGAAACTCCTCTTCTTCACAGTAGGCAAAAATGCTCCCTAGTGCAGGGGACAACTTCCTCCTCTCCAGATCACACACAAAATAAATTTTCAGAACATTTGTGGAAAACTAAAGAAATAATAGAAATTAACATGGCTCTCGGTCAATCAGCTATTATATGCTGAAGCAAAAAATATAGTTGCTGTTATAAATACATAATCTTTAGATTGAGTGGAAATCCCTATATTTTCTAAGAACAGGAATACTCAATAAGGATCAATTTCTCTGTCAGGAGAGAACAAGTGAATTGTTAGTGAGTTAAAATCTCCTTTTAAAAACTTTATTAGTTAGAATTAAGAGTTCTTTTCTCAGTGGGTCTGTTTAATCTGTGATTCGCCAGCTAAAGAGTAGCTCTTTGCAGACTTCTAGTTTGAAGGGCTTCGGTGACAGACAGAAATCCGCGATCGTGCGCGGTTTCTGTCTGGGCTCGCTGGTGGAGCGCCCCGAGCCGGCTGGTTTCGGGGCTAAGCCACCCCGTAGAGGTGGTGAAGAGGGGGGAGACCGCCAGCAGGGTCGAGGAGAGCCGCATCTCTCCTCTTCAGCTGGCCATTACTCCCTTTCCCGAAGGCGGTTGTAGCGGTGGTCAGAAATGGCCACCACAAAGAAGAACTCGACCGGAAAAGAATCTGCAGGAGGAAGATAAGAAGTGAAAGTTTTGGCTGACCGGGTTAAATTGTAAAAGCAACAACCAAGGTACCCTGGAATTTAAACTTACAAAAAATAACATCGCTCCCAAAGAAAAGTCGGAAGCAGCGAAGGAAAGTGAAAAGGGAAAGGTTTGGCTTTTTTTCCCTTCTCTCTCCTTCCCTATACTGACAACTAAGAGACTTAAATAAGAAATTGGAAAAATCCACTTTGACATCAATAGGCAATTAAGCTGAAAATAAAACAAAATGCCAAAGGGATAATAAATCTGGACATTAAAAACTTTCTTTTTCATAAGCAGGAAGGGAGAGAAAAAGAATAAGGGCAGGATCTGGAAGAGGGAGGAGACTGCCTGGAATTAAAAAGAATCTAAAGTAAAACTTCAACAAGACTTCTAAAAGATACATTTTAACTGAAACATTGCAACTAAATAGTAACCCCAGGAAGAGAAAGTGAAAAAAAAAGAGCAAAAAAAGAAACAGCTTGCGTGTATTTGGATTATTTGGTGATCTTTGGATTTTTGGTTATTATATTTGAATGACTAAAATCAATTGGGTGGTTGTTTAAAAATTTATACAATGGCACCACTTCTGGATGAATTGAAAATGGAACTTAAAAAGTACAAAGAAGATGCACAAGAAGGGAAGGGTTCTTTTGGCTTCATCTTTCAATTCTTAGAAATGGAGATTTGGAACTATGAGAAACAACAAGAAATGACTGCAAAACAAGAAGACTGGGATAAAGAAGAAGCCATCTTTAATGAACAAGTAATTCTATGTGGGGAAGAAAAAGGAAATGGGGGAAAGAGAATGGAGAATTTAAGACTTAAAAACACAACCAAAGAAAAGAAAAATAATTCAAAAAATAAGTACAATACTGGAAAACAACAGAAAAGGGGAATACAGAAGAGAGAAATGGAGGTAGAGAGACAAGGGGGTAAAAAGGGGAGAGAGAAGAAGAGAGGGAAGAAGGAAAGGAAAAGAAGTTACAAAGGACTGGAGCAAGATATAGAGAAACAGGACCTATTTAGAGATAATGGATGAAAATCTAACTGAAAAAGGGATTCTGTAAAGGTACATAAGATTGTATTGTTATATTAGTAATAGAAATAACTTTAGAAAATTGGAAACAACGTATGATTAAAATAAGGTATAAAATAGTTAGTGTAATTTAGTAAAATGTTTGTGAATAAAATAAGTGAAATAAAATAAATGAGAAAATTGAATTAGGAAGAAACGGGAACATTTTAATTAGTTAATGTTTTATAAAATATAAGTGAAGAGGGGGGGGGGAATTAACTATGGAAAGCTTATAATTGTTCCCATAGAAGTATGATATTTAATTGAAAAGTAATGTTAAAGATGTTAAGACTTTAATGAATATTAATATTAATGATAGAATTGAATTGGAATGGAATGTTGTTTTAATTATATACATTTATAATTTTTTTCTTTTTTTAAGAATACAGTGTGTATTTTAAGAATGTACCAACCAGAATCCGAATAGAAGTTATGTATTATATTGAATGTTACAACTTTAGGGAAAAGATATAAAGGCGTCATACTCCAATCAGTAACTACAGGAGAAATTTTGTTTAATGAGAAAAGATAATAGATAATTGAAACAGGACAGACAAAAAATATAAATACAATGATCTGAATTGAGATGAGATAATTAAAATAAAATTGAGAAAATTAAAAGAGGGGAGAAGCTATGCAGAAAATGTAAAATAGTAATAAGATATGGAATAGAACATAAAAATGAGCACGAACCTGAATTTGTGTCTGTACGAAGAAATGTAACCCGGGATTATGCTGCTTTCAAAAAAGATGTTTTATTTGTATTTTTTTCTCTTTGTGAAAACTCAAATAAAATTTACAAAAAAAAAAAGAGTAGCTCTTTGCTTCTCCTCAGGCAAATATGCTTGCCCAGTCTGGTATAAATCAGCACACTCTAGGAAAGTACATGTTTGTTGAGGTAATTCCCCATTAGGAGAATGAGCGCATACAGGGAGACGTAGTGAGAGAAGTGTTGGAATAATACACACACAGTACACAGATACACTGTACAGTAAATGTAGGTTTTTACTTCCAGAAACGTTAAGCAAAGTTCAAACACAGTCCAAAGTCATTCACAAGTAAGGCAGTCAGTAAGGTAAGGCAGTCCAGGGATAATCCAATAACAAAGTCCAGTGTCAAAAACAGTTCAGTATCAGACTTACATCAAATCCAGGAATAGCAGTCAATTAAGAGGAACGGCAATATTCTCCAACAGAAGGGGAAAAAAACTCACTGAGACACACTCTCTTCTGAGACTAGCACTAAGACAACCCAGGTTTCTGGCTCCATCTTATGGCCGTTTGAGAAACCACACCTAATTACAGTTTTGCATTTTCTTAAAGATACAGTATTAAAATGTCTATCCTGGTTTATATATTTCCAACCCAAATACCCATTAGGTGACTTATATTCCTAACAATGTTGCTCTGAATGAATGCAGGGAATGGCCCATGATACGGCATACCGACTTGACTGAAGACTGACCTTTCTCTGTTCTATCACTGACCTTTCTCTGTTCTATTAAAAGTATAAAGGTTTTCCCCCTCAGATTCTGAGCTGTGCTATTTTAGAATAAAGATTTTTCCTCAGGAAACTAACACGCAGTCAACTATATGCTTGACATCACCCACCTGCACGCTTAGAAACCTACTTGTATTAGCCAATTACTGCATTGTTACTATGCTGTTATCCTTGGGGTAAACCAATCATTGAGCTTGTATGTATAAGCACACTGCTACATTTAGAGTATAATAATAAAACACGGTTGACCGAGAGAGAACTTCTGAACTCAGGAGACACTTGACTCAAGAATCATGTGTACATGTCCTTGGTTGCAACAAATGAAGCCAGCAGAATTATTACTGGATGCCTTAAACCTACCCCTCTTGAGAAGATCTACCACCTAGCTGACATTGCCCTGCCTGCTGTTCGCAGAGAAGCAGCAGCATACAGAAAGAGTCTTAAATCTTCTATATTTAGGTAACACCCTCTCTATGGCCTACAACCAGTTTATCAAAGATTCAAATCCAGGAAGAGTTTTCTTAGGTCGACAGAAGACTTCAAAGAATTTGAAAGCAGAGTGGACCTATGGAAAACTACAAAGAACCAACACTGGAAGAAGCCAATGGAGGAGCTGGCACCTGGGCCTGACAAAAGCTGGGAAGTATGGAAATCGTTGAAAAGACTGCGCATGGATACAACAAGACACTTTGAACAAATGGGGCTACCCGGTGGCTTCTGCCCTTTGCGATTGTGGTGGCATGCAGACAACAACACATACGTATATCTGTCCTTTGTGTCCCGATCAGTTTACACTTGAGGACCTCATGGCAGCATGACAGAACACAATTAACATTGGTAGTTTCTGGGCAAGATCTGTTTAATTTGTATATATTTTAATATTGCATTTTATATTTTAAAGGTTCTGTCATATAGTATGCCTTATTTTAATTGTGATGCTTCTGACACAAACAAACAAACCAGCTAAAAGGTGAAATATAAATCCTATCCAAATATCTGCAAGTAATGGTTAGTTTTACAGTACCTGGTGAACCTGCACCTCCACGACCTTGATCCCCTTGAAGTCCTTGAGGTCCTTGAGGTCCATGCAAACCAAATTCACCAGGAATCCCTTTTGTACCCTTTGCACCTATGATTTGAAGATGTAACATGTATATTTTTATTTAAAAAAACTCATTAGAGGAAGAAAAACTAACTGTGGTTGAATGTAGTCCTGATTTCCAAGTGGGAGGGAGTGTGTTCCAGAAGAGCAAGAGACAGCAAGGTTTAGATAGTTTGTGTGGAAGAGAGTTAAAATTGCCCCTCCCTAGGAATTATCAGAGTATATGTTCCATGGTATATAGTAAGTAGTCCAGTTGGGCAATATTTCTGTTTATAGGTGAGGAACAAATAAAGGCAACTGCTTAGAAGAATACCAACATGTTTTTCTTGGTTTTTGAAAACTGACACTAATACAAACTAACAGAAAGTAAGTAGTAAGAGAAAGAAAATAGCTGGAAAAAGAAACAGAAAAGCACCAGGTAAAGTAAAAGGGAAATTTCATAAAGAAGTGACTTCTATTCTTCATCACAACAAATACGTTTATAACTCTTCACCCCCTATTATAATGTTACGAAGAGATATCTCTTCTTTCCATAACTTACCCCTTTATAAGCAAATCCATAAAACTTCAACTTTTCAGTCTGTAAACAATTTCTTTTAGAACTTTATAAAAAGCATGTGTTATTTTAACCTTGCTCAAATGAACTAACTTTATTTTCCTTCCTTTTACTTCTGACAATCTTAAATTCATTCAGATATTGTCATAGGCTTTGATTTCTCTTCAATCTTCTTTATGCCATCACAGAAGCTTGTTCAAGCCTCTTTTGTAAACCTGATAAAAATACATTATCAAGACCGCTCTCTTGATTTATTGTTTGCACTTTCCTTTTAATTTTTAAAACTTCAGTCAGCTTCTTCTGTATATCCAGAAAAGAGTCTTTATCTGGGTTGTTCAATTGGTCTATCACTTGTATTTCCACTTGTATTGTTTTATAATCCATACTTCTAAACATCCAATATTTCTGACTCTACTATTTCTGCATCAAACAAGATTTGTTTCACATCTGTTGGACATAATCTATCCATACAAGCAGGTATTATTATTAACTTTGTTTAGATTGTGGCTACTAATTTCTGACTCCATTCTTCAAACGTCTGCTTCAGTATTTTCATTGTTATCTGTTATTTCTTCTAAAAACAAATCACTACTATTTCCTGCAAGAAGCTGTTTGTTCTTTATAATTAACTTCAAAGTCTTACTGTAAAAGTTTCAATATTCCAAATTTGTCTCGACCCTTACTTAGTCCATCTATTACTTTCTAAGATCAAAATCCTATTTAGCCTTTTGGTGTTTATTTCAGATTTTTAAAATCTTATAAATTTTCTTTTGTTCAGAGCTGAAAATAAATTCACCCTATGTAGATTTTTCAAACCTGTCATTCTGAAGATTTCTAATAGCTTTAAAATAGTTAATAAGCATTTCCTGAAAGTGATTAGGAAATGAGATTTGCAAACTTAGTGTCCTTTAAAAGGTTTTGCTGTGGCTGTAAGCAAGATGGGTAATCCTGTCATCTTCCAGCACTGAAACCCTCATAAAACCATTATCCTGTGGTCTCCTCATAAGGAGCAATTATCTGAAGCATATGTAGATGATCTCCCATCCTTTCTTTATCTGGAGACATTCTAAGGAAACAGTCTACTCTCTGGATCCTTGGTTGTCGATTCCACTTCCACAGAGTCATCTTTAGTTTGTCATACCTCCTCCAGAAGTTCCAATAATATTTTTAAAATGCATATTGCGATAATGAATAGTCATTCTGATTCAGATGGCATATTTTAAAGGGATTAAAATGAAAAATATCCTTTATTAAAAAAAAGTTACTTTGAAATCAATATAAAAGATTTTCAATTCTGTTGAAATATTATAAACATAAAGAATGTGACATGTTAAGTAAGTTAAGAACAAGTTTGTCTACTTGAAACAAAAACAAGAACTACTACTATATTATTGATTACCAAGAAAACGATTACAGTTGTCAACTGAAAATTTTGAGTTCATACAAATACACAAAATTACAAAATAATAATTGACAGATGAATATGGAAGTTAATTTTTTTAATTAAGTAAGCCAGATTTGATGTCCATGAACAGTTGTCATCTTTGATTAACAGCCACCCATTCAGCATCTGAAACAATGCTGAACAACTGGTGTTTGGAGTTCCAGCTGCCATAGCATTCCCATAGTCATGTGATTGTAACAGGTGCTTAGTTTGTGCCCATCTGTGATCCTCTTTAACGTCCTCTAAGAAAGAGATTCATATGATGTTGCATTTTATGAATGCATTGCTTAGTGATAGCAATTCCAGTCACAACTGCAGTTTTTAATTGAGGATTACTTGTACAGTGTTGTTTTGGAATAATTATTATAGTTAAGAAAAATTGGATGAAATTATTCTTTCTATGTGAATGTATGGTACTATTTGATTCTTTTAAAAAGCATACCTGGTAGTCCAGGTGGTCCTGGGTACCCCGGAGCTCCTTTGGGGGCCATAACACAACTGGTCCCTAAAGACAAAAATATAGACTGAAAGAACAAAAAATGCTGATGGTTCCTTAAAGCTCAACAAATGAATTATGGCAAAGTTTTTGTTAGATTAGAGCCCACATTGTCAGTTGAGTAGACAAAACAATTTTACTCTTTTAATACAATTACTTTAATGTTGCTTCTGAATTTTTTAACAATTGTGCATAGCATATTTTGTTAAATAGAATTTGTGAAATTAAAATGTATAAAAAGAGTTTTGAAATAATATTCTTGTCTCACAGTTTTCTTGTCACATAGGTTTCTTGTCTTATGGGAGAAGAAACATTCACTTGAATAAAAGTATATAGTTCATTTTTGAATAATCATATTTGGATCACTTTACCTGAATGAATTGATTCTGTTCTATTATCTCTAAGAAAGTGGTCCTGTGTTTGCCCACATTCTATAAAACAAAAGAAGCAAACAAACAAGAATGTCTGATTTGTTTAAGCCATTATCAGGCACCAAACTATAATATTCAATTAGACTATACCTATGAATCCATCTATAAGAATTCAGTGGATCAATTATCTATCTGATACAAATCATTCATAAGCAGGAAAAACTGCCAAAGTATTCAAAATTTATGAGACTGATGGACAAATGAAGCAACGTTACATGAGGAGGTCTATAAAAATTGTATGGTCAACAATATCGTAAAGCAGAAGGGACACTTTGTTATTCTACTAATCCTAATTCCAAAACAATTTCATCAAGTACTCCTATTGCTAAGATTCAGTGATTTATTAATTATAGTATCCACCTCAGAGATTAATTTCCAGTTCATTGAGACGGAAATTCCCTGTCAGCCTTTTCATTGTTCACTTGCTTTAAATATCAAAAAATTGCCCTTGAAAAAGCCTACAATCTTTCTACATGCAGAACAAGTGAAAGAGATTCTAAGCAATAT